TACGTGGCACATCTCCTGGGTGAAGGGCTCAAGTGCAGCTCCGTCTTTACCTAACAAATGCAAACAATGTAACCACTTTTATGTGCCCTTATATTAATCTGAAATCAAAAAAGAATAAATGAAGGGTACTGAAAGGAAAGGGGGAGAGTGTCACATCATATTCCTGTGACCTTCTTTGCTTCTTTCTTCTTGATCTTTTTGCCTGAATTGAGCACTGCAACCACATTTCAACCAGAAAACCAGGAGTTGAGGACTGCCAAGAGTGAGGCCTGCCAGGAGGGTGGTGATGAGCACACAGGGATCCTGCCCCAGGCTTGGATGATGACGCGACAGTAGTGAACTCTATATCAGGGCAGGTTCCTGTAATGTAAAGTTGTAACCTAGTATTTTGCCTCATGAAATAAATTAAAATACATGAATACAGAATAATGCAGTGTATCGTTAAGTTGCCATTTTTATGGAAAATACTGGGGCAAGGACACCATACGGTGTGGCTGGCAGGATTGGTGAGGGCACTATGGTAACACCTCCGATGTGGCTTTCTGGGGCATAGGACAATGATTCTTTTCAGTTGTGAGGAGGAGAATCACTCCTGTAATTCTAGCCCAATTTCCTCCAAACTTGAACAAAGTAAGGTATTACAGAAAATGGAAGAAGGGAAAAGGAATCCATGAGCCGATGGAAGAAATATTAAAGGGGTAGGCCAGGCACAGTGGTGTGCACATGTAGTCCTAGATACTCAGGAGGCTGAGCGGAAAGATCGCTTGAGCTCAGAAGTTTGAATCTAGCCTGGGCAACATATTCAGACACTATCTCTAAATAAATAAATAAAACATAAAGGAGGTTCTACGTACATTTTTAGTACCTAAGAACAGTTCGAAGTTTAGAGTGGTCTTGCTTAATACACTTCAAAGACTTGCCATAGGGCATCCTTTCTCCCTGACATAGGGACCTTTTTGCAATACATATAATGAGTGAATAAATTCTGAGAGCAAGAAATGATATGAAAAGAGTGATTTGGGAAGGAAGGAAGAAAGGAAGGAAAGGTTTTAACTTTGATTATATTGCTACTCAGATTCTCTCATCTAATGCCCCATCTAGTTTCTTAGGGATTGGTTTTATCTTCGGCCTTCTTCTCCTCTAGTGGTATTAACATCACTATTACGTATGGGGGATTCCCACCAAGAATAGTGCTGAGGGCTTTATGTAGATTTTTCATTGACTTCATGGCTATTCTGTGAGAGGATGTACCATTATTATTCCCTTTTTCATACCACTAGGAACAAAGCCTTCCCTGAACCACAAGGTTCTACCATCACCCTCTTGATGACTCATTAAATGGAGCTGAGATGAAGATGTAGAGGGGCCCAGTGAGAGCAATGGACAGTATGAGCTGCCAGAATACTTCACTAACAGTTCTCAGCTGCCTTGGTGTGGGGAGTCGGGTGGAGGATGGGGAGATGGAGAGGGAAGGGTAAGGCGGGGTTCTGAAACTTCCCTCTCAAGAAGTAAAAAGTGTTAGTGCTCCAAAAATGTTGCAGGCTTGAATGAGAAAGATCAATTTGGGGGCTTTCAGTGTGAAGATAATAGATTAGCTTTAGTGTATATAAAATGTTTTATGAGTATACATTCCTCTGGGGAGAAAGGGCTAGGACATTCAGTAGTTTCTCTAGTGGACGATTCCAACCAAAGGTTCAACCTTCCTGCTTGAATGAATACTTCTTAAAATCTGCATTTGACATGGAGATAGAAAATAGAATGGTGATTGCCAGAAGCTGGGGGAAGGGAAGAGTGGAGAAGTGAGGAGTTATTGTTTAATGTGTATAGAGTTTGAGATTTGCAAGATGAAAAGAATTCTGGATGGCAGTGATGGTTTCAAAACAATATGAATGTACTTAACACCACTGAACTGTATGCTTAAAAATGGCTAAGATGGCAAATTTTATGTTATGAGTATTTTACCATACTAAGAAAAATTGAAAAAAGAATATGCATTTGAAATAGCATCTACACGTGTGCCTGGCAGTAATAGTAAATGCTCTGTAAATGACTGGTGATCTACCTGTTCTGTCCTCTTTTGTTATACCTAAAATAAGGATGATATTAACACATTATTGGCTTGTACTTCATAGAGTTGCTTGAGGGATCCGATGAGCTATCGGACATGCACAGACATTCATTCATTCAACAGTTCTTTATCTAGAACCTACCAATTGTCAGGCCCTCTTCTACATTCAGGAGATGCTGTTGTAAGCAAAAGAGATATGACTTATCTGCCACAGACCTTGGGGTTCAGGTCACCATTCCTTATGTGCTGTACTCAGAAAGCTATGGGGGTGTCTCTCCGTCTCTGTTTAAGTGCATTTCTGTGATAAGACTACAGCTCCCTCTCTTCACTCTCTGCTCTAAAAGAGAAGTAAATCTTCATCCAAATGACTGTGCCTGCATCGTCACAAAAGTACACACGTGAGCCAGCCTGTAGACCTGGGCTCCAATCCCATTTCTACCTCTACCTATTCATGTGACTGTGGGCAAATCATTTCCTGCTTATGGTCCTCAGTTTCCTGGTGATTACAGTTGTGCAGTTGGGCTCTGTGATCCCCAATGTTCTCTGACATCTGTTGTGCACTCACATTATAAACTCAGTTGTGCCCTATTCCTTGTTGTTATCTCTGCACCCCCAGAGCCTAGCACACTGGGGCTCCACCTTCATCTATCTAACGTACCCAGGCCTAGCCATAGCAGAAATGAACACTTTTTTAAAAATGTGCATGTGATGTGACATCCAGGAAGTGTTACAGTACCTTCAGTGGACATAAGGACCCTGGATTGTGGCAAAGAAGGTGTCATGAAGGGCAGAGAGGGTTGGCTTTTCTTTTTTTCAGGAGCTCCCTGAGAAGGTTGGCCCAGCCTCTGCTCCTCACCTCCCCTCTGCAGAGATAAACAGCCCTGGTGATGATCTGGCAGCTGCACGTCTGAGGCCTTCCCTTGTGCTTTTGTTGAATATTTTGCAGAAAAGAGTGGTAGGAGGGGTGAGGTTAATGCGTTAAGTGTGAGTAATTAGTCATTCAAACTATCGACATTTACAATGACAGGATTTGAGTGCCTACGTTATTGTGCACTGTTCTAATAGTTTATCCCTGAGATTTTCTGCCTGTATAATGTTTCTTAAAATATATCACAGGAACATAAAAGATTTAATGTAGTGCTTTGTACAGCCATTAGAGTCTGAAGTCAACTGAACCTCCTCAATTGTCTATCCTGGATGCTGACTGTAATTCTGTTCTTAGTTGCCATTCAGATTAGGAAAGGAGGGCAAGTCAGGGGTTTGGAACCTGGTCAGCTGCAAAGTTGGCTGTGAGACCCACACAGAATGTTTCATTAAAGTACATATGCACACTTGAGTAACTGATATATTTATTTGCAATGAAAATTGTGCTGTTGGAATATCAAAGGTGTTAGCCTGAGGAAACAAGTGTTCTGATTTTGCCCAGCCAGCCTCTGTGCTGACTGCTAGATGTGCTTTCCACCAATATATCTTTCTACATCTGGTCTGTTTCCTAAGCAGAAAATATGAGTGTCCTCTCTTTAAGATCTGTCGTGTACCTTAAAACGCTGTAGTTTCATATTCATGCCTTCGATATCTTTACATCTTGGCAACTTCTCTTATTTTCCAGATGATGTTTTAAAATCCCCTTGATTCACTCACATGTCAGATTTGATTCTGACATTTTACATTTCCGATTCTTTTCTTTTTTTTTAGCCCGTGTTGCATCCTGGGATGCATCATTAAGACCAGTGAGGGGTCTTGTTATATGATGTATATTAACACATTTGCAAATGTTTCTCAGCTTTCAGACTGTACATTTTTATTGAGAAAACTCTGAGAGAGACAGAGTGTGTGTGTGTGTGTTTGTATCAGTTCTTTCTGGGTATACTAAAGAATAACTGTGTAGTGTATGTGCAGAGCAAAGAAAGCTCCATTTTTATTGAATGAGAATGACTTGACCTAATTTATAGATGTGGTCCATTGCAGTAGCTCAGAAGGGAGCTCTGCATCTCATAGCTCCTTTCTGAAGGTTTAGACCCTTGTAGAGTTATGTAATCTATAGATGGGGCTCAGCTCCAGAAGTGAACATCAATTGAAAATCCACATAAGATGTCTGAAGATCCACAAAGCTGATGGGGGGACTGAAATTATTTTGCTGCAGCCTTGTTACTTCCTAGGCCTTGCTGGAGCAGGTGGACCTGTGAGCTGCTCACGTGGCCAAGTGCTTGGAGTTACCACTTGTCTGGGAGGCAAGCATCCAGTGAACAAAAAGTGAACCTGGCCGTCGAGTGACCTTAGACAGTCTCAGGCCCTAAGAATCTCATCCTGCTGAAGTGTGACTTACATTCCTGTACATCCTCCATCGTTAGCACCCAAAACCCTGCCTCAGTGCAGAATATTTTCTAGATGTCTATAGGGGGCCCAGAGAAAAGGTAACTTGAGAAAGGTGGAGAGCAGAGACGGGGGATCTATAGATTGTGGGACTGTTTTTTGTTTTATTTTGGGGTTTGGCATTAAATCAAAATGTAGTAGTTGGGCAGCTTTGTGGTTCTGCCAGCTGGGCCTCCTCAAATGGATAAATCCTGAATTTCAAGTTCCTTATTGAGTTGGCAGTGCTTCTTGTGTTTGTTGCCTGGACACCTAACTCAGTGAAGCAGTGAGACAACACAGCACACGGAGACACTGCACAGACCCGGGAGGCCCCATGCCCGTTTGGCAGAGCCGAAACCTGCTTCCCAGCCAGGAGCTGCACTGATGCTCTGTAACGTCTTCTCCATTAGCACGCCTCCCTCCCCTGGGCCCGTCTCCCTGCTGCTTTTCCTGGACCCTTGCCTCAAGGACAGAGCAGCTGAAAAGGCTTTGCTGTGTGCAGTTTCTATCCATCCTGAAGAAAGCTTGATTTAAGATTCTTCTCAGAAGTTTTTTGCTTTCTCCTTGCTGTCTGGACCAGCCTTCTAGAATCCTACAATTGACCTGAAATCAAGAAGAAAGTTCTGGTGATGGGAGAAGTGGAGCCACTTAAGTTACTTACATGATGGTAAAGAACCTTGGACACTTCCCACCTTCCTTAATCTGCTTTATTTCCCTGGCTCCCCTTGAGACTTCATGTTTTCCTTTCGGTTTCATTTTCCATTCGTGAGTATCAGAAGCGGAAACAGAGTAACACTCACCTATTAGAGCATGATGAGGAATAATAGTGACTATGCCAGTTTTACAGAAGAAGAAACCAGAAGAGGAAACTGAGGCTCAGAGTGTTGAAGTAACCCACCTGAGGTCACACAGCTAATCCATAGAACTGGGATTTTAAGTCAGCTCTTGTCTTGACTCAAAAATCTCATCCCTTTTTCGCTATGCTACTCTGCTTCAGATAAGAAAATGAGCAAAGACAAAAAAAAAAAATCTTCAAACATTGATAAGGGTATGGAGCACATTCCTACTGTGCTGATGGGAATATAAATTGGTTTATGCACTCTGGAAAACCTCTGGCAGTTTCTACTAAAGCTGAACATACAAACACACTATAACCCAAAAAATAGAACCCTAAGACTATCCCCAGCAGAATTGTACACATCTATGCACCAAAATACGTGTACATATGCTCATAGCAGATTATCTACAGCAATTTAAAACCAGAGCAATCTAAATCTTCATCAACATAAATAAAATGTGATATTTCCATATAATGGAATTCTCTATAGGAGTAAAGAACAACGTGTAACCACACAGATTACACTCCAGATGTGAGTGAAAAGGCATAAGAATACTATTGTATGATTCCATGTATATAAAACTGAAAAATAGATAAAACAAATTTATGGATTGGAATTCAGAAAAGTGGTTACCTTTGGAGGGGAGTGATGTAAATGATAAGGGTGGGAACATGAATGAGGTTTTTGGGGGGGTGCTAATCATGTTCTGTACTGGGATCTAAAATGTGGTTACCCAGATGTGAGCCGTGTTCACCATGTAAACGTTCTTTGAGTTGTAGCCTTAAGACTTACATACTTTACTTCATGGTATATTCAGGGAAAATACCCACAAAAAATTATCTCAACCACATGCCAAATGGTAATTATAATGGAGGCTATTAATACAAGTTATTAGTGATGTGCTAAGCCTTGGTTTCCTCGTCTATAAAAAGTAGAGAACAGAGAATGTTAGGGTACGCCTCACTGCGTTCTTGTAAGGAGACAGTGAGAGAAGTCCCAGCCAATAATTGGCAGAGTGACATTAGTAAATGTCAATGATTGGGATTGTGTTCCCACCACTGTTCAGGCACTTTACATTATCGTGTCACTGGATCCTTCCCGACAATTCACAAGACACAGGGCCTTGCTCCCATTTTTCAAATGAAGAAAACTGAGGCTCCTAGAGTTTAAAACCCTTATCCAAGGTCACACGGCTAGCAAGTGGCAGAGCATGATTGCATTTCCACGGAGCTGATGACTAATTTCAGAGAGGATAAGAGGCAGTATTGTGATGGACAAGTCGGGGTTGGGGATAAGATAGACTGGGCGGGTGGGACTGCTGGGCTGCGTTTGGAGCCAGGAAATTTGGGTGCAGGCCCTGCTTTCCTGTGATGACAGAGAAGTCACTGGACATCTCTGGACGTCATCTGAAATACGAGAGGAGTGAAGCAGATTTTACTCCCTTCTGGCTCTGCAATTTTGTGATTCTCCATGTTTATCATCCCATATGTGACATCTTCATGGTCTGACTCCATGAGCTTAAACCCACTTTCCAGCTACCACTCTGTTCTAGCATCTTCTCAGTACTTTCCCTGAATCCCCCTATTCTGTAAACAGGAGTAATTGCTTCTCGACCACATGCCGGTGCCCTACAGCAAGCCATTTACCTGTCTGTGCCCTCTATAGACTGTAAGATCCTTGAGGATAAAGACTTTTATTCATTTCTTTATCCCCATGCACGCTGCCTGGAACAGTTCACACATCCAAGGAAATCTTTGTTTAATGAAATATTTAAGTCCCCCAAAAAATCCTTTTAGAATAAGAATGTGTGAGAGGATAGCCTCAGGCAGTGCTGGACCTAAGGTGGAGATACAGAGAAAACTTTTCTTTCATGTTTTTTTTTTTGTCTGTTTGTTTTATTAGAGGTCTGGGAGAAACAGTTACAGAGTGGCTGGATAAAAAAATCATTAGATGACTTTGCAGCTCCCCAGCATGTACTTATGAAATCTGAAGTTTGATCAGTGATTAAGCATCAGTGAAAATCTAAACCCTTCCCATATGGAACAACCCCATTTAATTTAATGTCATTTTACTTTATGAGATAGTTAATAAACAGGTACTGTATTTGATCTTGTGAGTGTAGCCCTCTATATTTAGCTTTTTCAGCTCTAATGGAACTATAATTTTAATCATGATTATTACTTTACATTTTAATTATAATTTGGTGTGGCTTAAGTATACATTTCTGAGAGTGATTGTGTAATGAAAACAGGAATTAGCTTTTCATTAACAAAATAATGGGAGAGTTCCCACTGCATTCTAGTCTGTGTTCAAAATCTATGGGCAGACCTAAAAATAGAAAGGGGAGTTTAACATTTTGGTTAAAAACATGCTTCTAAATTGGCTGTGTTCACAACTCAGTCTCTTTTGCTCCATTTTGCTTTCTCGCATTCTCTTTCTTTTCAAAAAATAAAATAAAATAAAATCCTAAGAGAGACTTTGTGTCTGAGATTTTCAAAAAGCTCTTTATTATTTTTATTTTCATTTAGATAATTAGCACCATGGAGCCTCAGGTGTCAAATGGCCCGACGTCCAATACAAGCAATGGACCCTCCAGCAACAACAGAAACTGTCCTTCTCCCATGCAGACAGGGGCGACCACAGATGACAGCAAGACCAACCTCATCGTCAACTATTTACCCCAGAATATGACCCAAGAGGAATTCAGGAGTCTCTTTGGGAGCATTGGTGAAATAGAATCCTGCAAACTTGTGAGAGACAAAATTACAGGTATGCTTTTCTTCAATGTTCTAGAAGTGGGATTTGCAACTACATTGTTCCATGAGATGTACAGGCCTTAGCAGAAATGTACGTGCATAACAATACAACTGAGTGTCTGTATCCCGTACCCTGTGTGCAAGGTTGTGTGGCTACACAATCATAAGCTCACACCACATACACATATGTACACCTTATAAAACCGTGCTGTGGAGTGGTAGGGCTGGGAAGCAGGTAGACTTTGGCGCTTCTTCACCTTTATGTGAAATGACTCTTTGGTTATATCCTCTTTTATTCTTAATCAGCGCCCCATTCCTTTTGTTGTTTAATTTCCACTTCTGCCCCCTGCCCTTCCTATACACCACACTAGTTTTTATTCATGTATTCTTATCCTCTCAAACGTTTGGTTAGTGTGTGCCCAGTGTTTTCCTGTGTATAAGACAAGTGTCTTAATGGGGAGCACTGTGGACTTGTGGAAGGGCGACACAACTGCCCATTGTCTTGGGGAAAAACAGGCCCTGAGCAGCGCAGATTGCTCTGGAATACAGCTTTGCACTAGGAAGGAGATGCTTAGTGAAGATTTGCACGTGAGATATTTTATTCTTTTATTTGTTTGTTTTAAAAATACTCTTTTGATGTCAGAGACTTTTTACTTGAAAGTGAAACATCCTATATAACTTCAATACTTGAGATTTTTTATTTTCTTCTGATCAACACCTGTTCATCGAGGAACAAATATTGGCCAGACACTGACACTGTAATTCTTTGAGGGAGGGGGAAGTTTTCTTGTAATCATATTGGAAGTGAGAATATTGTCTTAGGAAAATATTGGGCTATCTAATCAGGACAGTGAAGCTGCTGCTCTCTGACAACTCCACTCCTGAAATCATTCGTGCTCAACTTTGAGTACCTGTCGGTTTTGAGTGTTGACTTTTGTTTCCCTTTCTCTGGACACTTTAATTGATAAGCAACTGTCCTATAAAAGAAAAGAGGAAGCTCTATGATTAAAATGGGGAGATACATCATCTTGCTTTTAAATTGAAGAACACAACACGTGTGTGTGCATGTAAATATATGTCTTCTTTTCTCCCAATTTCACGTGTACATTTGACCCCCTTGTTAATTACTGATTACTTTGCAAAATCATAAAATTTTAAAACACGATACTTTCTAAAATATAAGTCACATAACATCCCCCAAGACACAATTTCCTCATCTATAAAACTGGAAAATAATGCTTATCTCAAAGGGCTTACCCTGAGGACTGAGTGAGTGACTGGATACTACATACAGAGTGTCTAACACAATGGCTGTTGTAGGGTGGTCTCTTAATAAGTGGGAGATGTTATTACTATAGGTATAGCTAGCACACTTCATGGAGAGCGGCTAGAACAGAAAATTTACACCGAAGTTCCCAAATAGGGCCAGGATTATCTATCCTTCTACAGAATTGCCTGTACTTTCAGAAAGCCGATGTTTAGATTCCTGAATAATCTTTGTATAATAGGATGATAATTCAAACCAAATTAAAACCACTTAACCATATGATTCTTCCTCCCACTCCTGTATAGGAAAATGTATTTTTGGCGTAGCCTTACCTTCTAAATAGGGACTCTGCCTGTTATATTAGTGAATATTATTAATCACCTTTTCAGAAGACTCCCCTTAGCACTGTAGTGAGATTTTCAAGAAGTACTGATTCATGGTGTTGTTCCTTGTTTTCTAAAGACACATGTTTAAACAAGCAGATTCCTTTACTGAAAGAATGCTAATTTGGTAGTTCACCGAGTGGATTTGAATAGGAGTGACAGCTTCGAAGACAGCCTTTAATTTGGTATACAAAACCAAAATTGTCAACTTTGGTTTGTTTAGCACCCTCTCCAGCACAAGCAGAGACATACAGTAGCATCTGAGCTTAAAGAAAAAGCTTATGGGTTGAAAGCAGAAATACAATTCAGTCATAAATTTATAATTATGCATTTTTTTAATTCAAGCAGAGGAAAAAATAAAAAGAAGGAAGAATTGTATTTGTAGGGAACCTACCAGAATGAGGCAGGGAAACAGAGAGAGACCAGAGATATTTGCCCTCATTTGGTAGCGGTGTTTAATAAAAGTAGAATTCGTGGTTGTAAAGAGTGCTTATTAAATTCTTCATTTACACTACCTAATTAATTCTAGCATTTTAAATTAACAGTGAAACTGGTCCCTGCTGTACCATTCCATAGATGCAGCATATTTCCTCCATCCACCCGTTGTTCAGGTTTAATTGGCTATGCTAAAAGTCAGAGAAGGAGGGAGAGATAGGGCTGTGGGGAGATGGGGAAGGAGAGGGATTCGCTCTGGCAGAAGACCTTCCAGGGCCTACATTTGGGGTTAAGTCACAATGCAGGCTGGGAGAGGTGAGGTATCATACCAGACAAGTGGAAGGGCTGCAGCTGGTGGTTCAGAAGTCAGGGTAAATGACATCATAGGTATTTTTGTTGCCCTGATTTTTAACATCCCCGTCCCCCCTTTTCCTCTAACACCTCCTACAGATCTCAATGCATCTCGAACCTGTGAAGTTTACAAGGAGTTCTAAATATCCAGTGGGAGGATTGGGGAGGTGGGAGGTGGCAAAGAGATAAGAATTCAAGATTAAGATTTTTCAGCCCCAGTCACTCCCTAAGAGAATGTAATGGATTTCCCTTAGAAGGTTCTGGCTTCTATAACATTAAGATTCTTGAGAAAGAGAGGGAAGTGGTTCTGTTGATAGCATTACTAGTGGGCTGGATTCACCCTGGCTGCCAGTTACCAGTGGATTCTCCATTTGAAAACACACGGAAAAAAACGTGGGCATGAATGTGTTAATCTTTGTATAATAGGATGATAATTAGGCATTTATGAGGACATAAATGCCAGCATTTATCAAGCACTTACTCTATGCTAGGTACTTGCTAAGCACTGGACATGCCTTATTTCATTCAACACAGAGAACAGCCTCCGCTTTCTTAGATGAGGAGACTGAAGCTTAGCAAAGTAAAATCACTTTCTCAGGCAGCACAGTTACCCAGCGTGTGATGGAGCGAGGAGTCATCCCCAGTTTCCAAAAGCGTGATTGTTATTTGGAAGTATATACAGGGTGCAGATGTCTGCTTAAACCCCACCTCATAACCCCCCACAGCACCGTGTTACTCTAGTAAAGGTTGCTGGCTGCCCTCTGGAGAGCCTACCTAATGCACCATGGCTTTAAAGGAGGCTCCTGTGTACAAAAGGAGGCAAAGATAAAATATTTATCATCCTCTGGGGATCTAACTCAGCCTGTGTCTGCCTTCAGAGTAGAGCAAAATTTACTGAAAATGCCAGCTTTGAGTTACTCTTACACTGCTTTTGGACATTGCTGTTACTTATCTTATCAGAGACATTAGATTTTCTTTTTCCAATTGGGTAAGGACACTTATCAAGATAATCTAGGTACCAGGGAGAGAAAAATGCATGTCCTGAATTGCTTTTGTGTGCAGCCATGAGCACGTGACGCACTGGAAGCCAAGTCCTTTGCTTTTCTCCTTCATCCACCTGCAGCCTCTGCTGCTGGGGAAAAAGGGAGGTGGCACGTGACCCACGGACTCGTGCAGCCTAGAAACTCAGGCAAAGAGCACCAAACTCCTGGTAGAAATTTTATTATTCACGTGGACTTTGAAGCATTAATATTGTTCCTTAATTTTTGTTTTGTTCCTTTTTCGTTTTTGTTTTAGAAGCATTGAGATTGCCTTACCGAATCCAAGTTTCTGTATGTTCAGTATTTCAGGGGAAGAAACACATGGCTTGGCCAGGAGGAGGTTGGGTGGCTCAGGGTATGTCCTGGAAGCCAGCATAGCTAGAATGCTAGAATACATTTTGATAAATGTTTATCTTGTTACCACCCCACCCGCAAAAGGAATAAAGAACACAAAAAGTAACAAAGAAAAATCCCTAGAAAGAAAGCAATCGGGGTAAGACAGCAAAACGGTCTGCATCTGCCTAGCCACAGTATGTGATTATTATCACAGTGCTAAAAAATAATTTTAGTTTTACTTGATGTCCCTCTCTAAGTGTCCTTGCAATGTACTTTTTAAGAGTAATTTTCTATCTATTTCAGGTAGAGAGAGCTGTGAAGGGGATGGTTGAGAACAGGGCCGTCCAGGCTGAACCCTATCAATTACAAAACTGACTATATTGAAGAGACCAGTATATGGGACGAATTATATAAATACTGTGGGCTGTTGGGAAAGGTGAAATTTGTGTTAGCTGGAGCTATTGGGGAAGGTTTAAAAGATGGGGTTAGGATTTCGGTAGAGGAGAGAAAGGCAAAGGAACAGAGCTAAAATGCTAGTCAGAACAAAAGCATTTTTTTGTTCCTGTGTGCTTTGGACAAAGGAAGTAGAGCTGGAACATGTGTCTTTGGAAGCAGCAGCCTAATGTGAAGCAGCATTTGCCAAATTAAGTTACACATGCCAGAAAATTAAGTTGGTTAGAGTTGCACCCCCATGGACAAAGGCAACATTTCCTAAATGCCACCTCGAATCCATCCCTTTGTTTCTTCCTTTACAACACGTGTTTTTGTCTTAATTACTATTATCCAGTGGAAAAAGCAGAGCAAGGCCACAAAGAAAAGCAAAACCCTTACCACTGCAGTCATCAGGGTGAATATCTTGCTGCCACCTTTGTATTTGAGTCTGCATCTCTAACTAAAGGAACCAACTCAGTTTTGATGCAGTGACTGAGGCAACTTCTATTTTTTGTCTCAGATTTGTGAAAGTGCTAATAATCCTGTGTCTTCTCAGTAGGTGAGAGGTGGGACATGGACCACACAGCAGTGGTGAGAGTATGTGTTAGAGCACCCAGGCCGAGGCATGACCCAGAGCACAGTCTGTTGGGTTGAAGAGGGTAAGGGGAGGGAGGGTTGTGTTACCTCATGTACTTAAGAAACTGGATTTATAGGAACACTGTAGGAATTTGGTTGAATTTTACTTCTGAGATAATTGTATACGCAATAA